GATGATGGTGAAGCGAAGGTAGAAGAGGCGATGATGATGCGTGGGTTTGATTTTTGAATGGGAGATGGGGTGGTAGCTTTTGGTGGTGACAGTGTGGTGGTTTGCGGTGGTGACAATGGATAAGTGGGAGGGTGGGGCAGTGTCGTCGACGCTTTGTCATAACATCAACGGTTGTAGACAGTGACTTGATTTTGGTTTTGCTTTGGGATAGGTGTGAGGGGGTTGGGAAAGTAGATGAACTTTTGCTTTCTTTTATTTTTTTTTATATATTTTTTGGTTTATTTCTTTTAATTATTTTAATTGTTTGATGTGGTAAATAAAAAATTACTAGTTTACCCTTTGAAATGATAAAAAAAAAATAGTCAAACTTAATCTTTTAGTCAACTAATAGATGGAATCCATTTATTTGGGCCTCAGTTACTACTGTTTGAAAGGTTTGGGTGATGGCTGCAATGAATGAAAAGCTAAGGAAAAGTCTGTTTGAAACGTTTGGGGGCTCAACTGCAATTATCCCTATTTGATATGATAAGCACGTGTTTTGAAACTACTATAGTCTCTATATTGCATGCTAATTGATCAATAGAATATATACGTAGCATTGGACATCTAACTTTTAGATCGTGTTAGAACATTTATGTATATTCGTATTCTATCTTTAATTTATTTTACGAACGAAAATGATATTATGAAACCAAAATTAGTTAAATAACATAAAGATATTGTGACATTGATGACTCGTTTTAGATCATAATTTATTAGAGACGTGATAAACTATTTAGAGACTAAATTGACCTCCAATTATTATGTGACATTTATCGATGATTCAAGTCGGAAGTATGTGTTTATTCTAATGAAAAATAAATTTAATATTTATTATACTTTCAAAAGATGGAAAGCAATGTTTAACAATGAGACAAATTTGAAGGTGACATGTTTGAAGTCAGATAATTGAAGAATATAGATGATGACTTCAAGAAATATTGTGCTGATGATGGAATCAAGATCAAGAAGACTATTTTAGGAATACCTCAACAAAATGATGTAGTTTAGAGGATGAATATGATTTTAAACGAGCGTGCAAAAAACATGAGATTACGTCTTGGATTATCAAAGATGTTTTGGAGTGACGCTATTACCGGTGTATCTTATGTGATCAATAGAGGTCATTTAACATCAATGGACTACAGAATACCGTATGAGGTTTGGAGCGATAAAGAGATAAATATTTCACACTTGAAAGTATTAGGTTGTGTTTAGTATATTCACATTGGTTTTACTGCGAAAAACAAGCTTGATGCTAAATTAGAAAGGTGTTTCTTCATTGGATATGGTGATAGCGAGTTTGGTTATCATTTTGGGATGATCAAACTCACAAGATTATCAAGAGAAATGATGTGGTCTATGAAAATGTCTTGTATAAGACAAGTTGTGAACAAACGATAAACGCAGAAGTCTTATTGTTAAGAAGTCTGAAATGATTCCATTGAAATATCTTCCAGTAATTTAGAGAACGTTGATGGTGAAGATCAAGAAAATATAGCCCCAGAAGTACATCAGAACACTCTTATAACTCAACTTAGAAGATCTAACAGAACTAATAGACCCCCCACAAAGATATTCTACAGCATAGCATTACATTCTATTGATTGATAGAGATGAACTCGAAGGTTATAGTGAAGTTATGCAGGTTAATGAATCAATTGAATGTGAGTTAGCCGTGTTGGAGAGATGAACTCAATACTATCCAATCAAATATGACAATTGAATGAGTTACCAAATAAACATGATGACAACAAGCGACATAAAGTAAGGCTGGTTAAAAAGGGATTTCAATAGAAAGAATGCATTGATTACACTAAGATTTTCTCTCCCGCGGTAATTTAACCTCAATTAGAGCTGTACTTGAACTAGTGAGAAAAGAAGTATAGCACCTAGAGTAGTTGGATGGATGTAAAGACTTTAAAGTGATTGATGAAGAAATTTACATGATGCAAACTCAACGTTTTGAGTTACAGAGAAAAGAAAATGTTGTGTAGACTTCAAAAGAGCTTGTATGATCTTAAACGAGTTCTAAGATAATAGTATGAGAAATTTGATAGTTTTATGGGTAATAATGGCTCCATAAGGTGTCAAGCGAATCAATGTTGCTATGTGAAGAACATTGATAAGTGATAATCGTTCTATTGTCCAACTGTTATATATCGATGACATGTTGATTATATTTATCCAAGAAATTTGCAATAAAGGATTTGAATGTTACAAACAAATTCTTGGGATAAGAATTACTGGGGACATTGATATCTTAAAACTGTCACATAAAGAGTATGTGAAGAAAGTGCTAAGTAATTTCAGGATAGATGATGCAAAACTAGTGAGTATTCCTTTGGCTAGTCATTTTAGGCTATCCAATGTGTAGCTATCCCCTACAGAGCAGAGCTGTCTTACATTGTCAAGGAGCATTATTCCTTAGAACGGATTCAAAATCGGACTAAAATAATTTTAAGTTAGGCTAATATGTTAAAAAAATTCACATAAATTTTATATTTTTACTTATAAAAAAATTACCCTAAGAAAATTAAAACGGGTTGGGGGACTAGGCAGAAGCGCATTCCAATCCTCCCTAAATCCGCCACTGCTTATGCCTATGTTATTGATGATCTAAAGTATGATATGATGCACATGAGACTAAACATAGCACGTGCAATAGGAGTTGTGAATAGATATAACCCTTGCCAATTTTAATTTTAATTTTAATTTTTGCTTTTTTAGAAGAAATCTGACAGTTAGTCTATGAAGTAACATTTTCTTTATCTATTTCATCTGACACGAGTGACATATAACTGTACCATTAATGGATTTTGATTTCACTTTACCAATTTTGTCCTTTCCAAAAAAATGCACATATCCAGCCAAAAATGGGAGTACAAATGAAAATCACACATAAACTATCAATAATCAAATACATATGGCATTCAACGATCGGGCCCTACTGATGTGATTAGAAAATGAATTCTTTGGACAAAAATGGCATCCAGATAATCGCATATCAGAAATTCGACTAAATATCATAGGGAGACAGTAAAGTGGATTCTCAGGTACTACAAATTCAATCTTATGTTTCAGAAAATCGGGTTTGGAATTATAGGACTACATGGATATTCACACGACAGGGAATACTGATAGGAGGGAAAAGTACTGCGGTTATGTATACAATTTGGATGGTAAAGTATTTAGTTGGGTGTTTAAGGTGAATAAGATAGTTTCTCCTTATACTATTGAGGCCAAATATCTTCCTGTAAATGAAGTTAGCAAAAAGATGGTATGATTGTAGACTTTCATGGGAAAATTGGATAACAAGTATGAGAAGAGAGTGCTGAATTACGATAGTCAAAGTGCTATTCCCTTAGCAAAGAATCATGTTTATCATGTAAGGAGGAAGCATATATAGGTCCGTTATCACTTTATTTGATCAACTTTTTAGGATGGAATCTCAACACTTGAGAAGATTCAATGGAATCAGAATTTAGCTAACATATTGACAAATATTGTTCCGATCGAGAAATTGAAGTTGTGTGCAACTTAAGTTGGACATTTCTTTCGAGGATTGAGGAGTTGTTGCCGCTATAGAGGAGCCATTGATGGTGGATTAATCTTCAAGTGATAGAATGTCATAGTGCCTAATTATTGTCGATTTGCGAAGTCCTACGCCAAAATTTCATTACAAATAGTTTAAAAATTTGTGTCCTTGTAAATTTCAATTTTGCAAGGGAGTCATCATTCAACTTTCGAACTATCATCATGAGAGAGAGAGATGTTAAAAAATATAGGGTGTATGACTTCTTCTTGTAAATTTATTTTCATCATAGTGAATTACTACAACAGCGAAAGTGGATATAGTCTCACAGACAAACCTCCATAAATCTTACATATCTTTGTTTCCTTCTTCTAATTCATTACTCTTGGTGGAATAAGTTAAAAGTCTCTAATTCTCAACAATGACAAAACTATTGGACATAGTGAAGCATCTTCTGCACTATTTACCATATACATGGCACCGTGCATCGCGGCTGATTCCTTTGTTATGACTCTCCTTTATAACTTCATGCCTTATCCAAAACAAATTGGCCAACAATGTAGATGATTCTCCTCTTAGTCTTCTACCAATGCCCACACGGTATTCTTAGGTCATAATCCCATATCTTGTTTATCTCGCAAACAACGAACAGTTGCTTGCTCCTCCACTATGTCATAATATTGAGCGATTGCCACCACCACCTCCGAAATTTTGTGAATACGGTCTTTTCTTAGTATGAACTTGGCATCATCTTACGTTCTCCTCCAATTTATTATTGAGTGATCACGTATAGAGTAAACAAATGAACATTGCGACATCAGCATTACTATAAACACATACATGTGCACCAACACAGAGGGGACGCAAATATTTTTAGTTAGGAGGACAATCAAACTATATACAAATCGAATATTTTGTTCTTGATTTTTGAATCATTCATACTTGACCCAAAATAAAAAAATAAAAAAAGATTTACATTTAAAAAAAAAAAAAACTTCTATATTAATATTTTGCTCATCATTTTCATCCATTTGATTTCGAAAAGTCATTTTATTAACATTTTGCTCATCACAAGGAAATGCGTATTTATTTTTAAAATTTTAGGTTATTTGATACAAACAATCAATTCAAGTAATCAAAAGGAAAAACATATCATCAATATTTAATACTAATAATAAATCAAATAAATGCAAGGAATGCACCAACCGATCTTGGTTATTTTTATCCACCACGTACACACTACTCGTGGGTCGCATCTAGTACACGCACGTTCATCTGCACGATACTTATATATCGTGTTTCATCGTCAGATACAACGATAAATCATTTACTTTATTGCATATTGCTTTTCAGTTTCTATTACAAAGAAAGGCAACTAAAATACGAAAAAGTGCAATACGAGTTTTACTGGGGATCTTCACAGAGCAAACCTGAACATTAGGACCGTTGCTTTATTCAACAAGACTTAACCACACCATAACATACACAATTTGGATACCAGCTACCAGTTTCCGGGATTCCAATCAAAGAAAATAAAGAACCACTATGAAATATTTTAAATACTATCAACCATATGAAGGAAACCATAGCACCAAACTAAAATTTCAGCAACAGGACAGAATTTAAGTGAGAGAATCAGTTATAAATCCCACGAGAAAATTTACTAAATCTCACATGAAGTACGTTAGCAAATTATGACTTCATCACAAGTAATTTAAGATGAACCATATTTACAGAGCAATTAGTGCATGATATTTCCCGTTATAGCATATTTTTGGTCAGTAAAGCCTCCCCCACAAATTTTATTTTGCCAAGAGAAGTGTCAACAGAGCTTACTTTGCAACAAAATGGTACCTTGAGTCGACATAGCTTTCAACATCCCAGAGGAATGAACCAAAAGTCACTGCTTCCAAAACAAGTCTTCTCAAACCACCAAAACTGATCTTGATGAGTTCATCTCTGGAAGTATCAATGGTACCTTCAGGAGTAATAACAATTTCAGGTCGACCAAACAATGCTTCGGTATGCTTCTCAATGATACTAACAGCCTCTTTAGATCGGATCGTTGCATATCTCTGAAGTGTCTCTCCATCAAACGACATCACGTAATTTCGCAATCTTGAAGGCTTCATCGCAGGACCGAAACCTCCATCAGACAATGATGACACTTCGGGGTGGGGTTGAGCACTCTCAAGAGATTTGTCACTCCTTTCAACACTAGGGTTCCTCTCCTTTTGGATTTTAATCTCTTCATTGTCGATCCCCTGTGGAAGGATTTTCATCGTCTTCTCCAATTGAAACCTCTGGTCGACTCGCTTGAGGAAATATCCATACATCACAGATGCTGCATAAACTTGGCCAACCCGTAATTTGCTTATTTGAGCTACTGATGTTGAATCACCTAATCGGTTTCCCAAAATAAGAGCCAGGTGATTTTGGATCATCTCATAAGCTTCTGGAGAATGGAGACTCTCAAGCTTCCCTTCTTGGCTGGGCCATGTATCAACTCGACCAGAATTGTCTGTTGAAGGGACTATAGTGGGAACCAGTGACACGTTGGCATCCATGAATTTCTGCACCACCAAGGCATACAATATCTCTTCCAAGGCCTTTCTCCTTTCATTAGCCTTCACCTCAGAAATTCTCCTGATCATATTAGAAATAATCCATCAGACTATCAGTTCTTACTCGATCAAGCATAATGCACTTTTCAATTAAAGAATGAACTCATATGGTCTGCATAAGAGAACATTCTTGGTGGTGAACGGTAGAAAAAACTCCACATTCGTTGGAGTATCATTGGTTTGGCAATTGAGGAAAATGACTAATGACTGTATAACTCAGCACCAATCACCTCCTGAGGATAGCATTTCCAAGGATGGAATGCCTTCTAAGCATCAGTAAACTAAGCTGTGAACTAGACTACTAACCTGTACAATACTAGGTCGGTGCCAGATGCAGATGGTTCTTCTTTCTCTTTGTCTGCATCACTGTCAGTTTGAAGCTGTTCGAGTTGCTGTTCTACTGCAGCGAGAACAAGGTGTGGGTGACTTGTCAGAATTTGAGAGAGAAATTGTCCAATTGGAGACTCTAGTTGAAGTGGAGCAATAGGAGCAGCTGAACCGGCAGAATCAGAAGATTGCATCGATGCTCTAATTAAAAAGCCCTTTCTGGTTACAAAATTCACTTTCCTGTTTCCAAGCTTCACATGAGAAATAGATTGTTGTCCCTGCCATCAGCATACAAATAAAACTCAGATGATCTATATATTGGAAATAGGAAAAATGGCATCTAGACTTCAATGTAAATTGACATTAGTCAACAAGCGATTATAATTACTCTAGTTCTCCTCAACATTACCACTAATGAGAAAAACTGCCAAATTTAAAAATCTGGTTGGTACTGCCACTGATATGGAATATCATGACTCAATTATTAAAAATGACTAATTGCAGGAAAGGCTATCAGAAAGAAACATATAAGACAGCAGATTCTAAAAGTCACACCATAATGCTCCAAACAGTTTTAAACATTAAAATTTCACTGCGGACGTGCACATAAAATGTTAACAAACAAGAGAGTTACAAGCTGCATGAATTCATCTGGTGAACAATGGCATTGCCAAAAAAACTTAATTATATCACCTTAGTCTGAACTGTACACAATCAAATATTAACGAAGTGCATGCTTTTTAGAGCTTAAATTATAATTGAAACAAGTTAAGCATACTTTTTATCCACACAATTCGTAGGACTAACAACTATTACCCACTTATTATCCATATTAGCACTCCCAAGCATGCTATAAAGAGTTGAAACCCACATCAATTGATCTGATGTACAACAATGGCATTGCCAAAAAAAATGAGTAAATCTCCTAGAGCCCATTAAATCATGCATTAAGGGAAGACAAAAGATATTTCTCTACCATAAACTCATCATTAAAACCTTAGAAAATGTTTATGTTAATGAACATAGATTCAAGTTTTGTTCAAAGATATTAGATAATCAATTTGGTTTTGTAATAAAAGATTTCAGCATTAACCTATTTGAAAATTAATGGAAAAAACACTAGAAAGGAAGAAAACTGATAGGAACTTGATTTATATTGTACTTTGTGTCTATTATATATTCAAATGGGATTAAATTGGATTGCGAGCATTCGAGACGCTCACTCTCTCCAAATTGATCATCAATTTTTACGTGTGTAAAATGAAACTACCCTCCAGTATTTATACTAGGAAGCCTATACAATTTATTCTACTAAATTCTCATATTACCCCTCCACAACTTTACCCAACCAACTAGTGACCTATCATTACCGTGCCCTCAAAGTTCACATCCTCCTCGAGGTGAAAGTTCAAGTTGATTATAGTCAAAATTTCATAAAGCCAAATAATTTCTTTAGCAAGAAGACCATTCACTGCAAATCTAGATTTTCTCCTTAGAATATTGATATTTTAAAGCGGCCTTGCAAATCCAATTAAAAGTGATCGTCTTCGCTAAATTTTTGCAGCAATTGTCCAAATTTCTCCATGAGCGATCCATCTTCTTCTCCAATTCCTCCATCAATTTAACTTCAAGCTGGATGCAAAAATGTTAATTTAATAGGAACCTGATTCATATTGTAGTTTTGTGTCCATATATAAAATAACTAAAAAAATTATGATCGATTGTAAGCGTCTGAGGGGCTCACTCACTCCCAATTGACCATCAATTTCTGCTTGAGTAAAATGTAATTACCCTCGCTTTTCTATAATTAGAAGCCTATACAATTCATTTTACTAAATTGCCTGCGTTGTGGGTGCAAGAACTATGAATAAATGGATTGAACCCTATGTCTCCAATTAATTATGTGGGGGGGGGGGGGGGGGGGAAGAAAAAAAAAAAGCAACCAGCTTCTGTTTGAAAGAGGAGCGCCTTCCGGAATGCGGGCACAAGTGGTGCATGACTGTCATCTAAGGATCGTGGTGGATTACCATGGTTTCCATTGCAAGGTAATATTTAGATCCCACATTAAATATATGGCGACAAGTTTACATAGATTTGGACTATCTAACTTCAATAGCTAGCTTTTAAAATATGGCTATCTCAAGATTTATAACAAAAACTTGCATATGATTTTCGCACTTAGAGTCCGTTTGATTGTAAAGATGGAATTGAATTGCCTAGAAAATGAATTCCAGGAAATTGAATTGCTTAGAATTGTTTTCCTGGGAATTATATATTATTGTGGTTGATTGATATAATTTTCCAGGTGGAAAATGTTGAAATAAAAGTGTTTTTTATGTTCGTTTGGCTTTGTTTTACATGAAAATTGTCAATTAAAGGAAAATATTTTTTTACAATAATTCTTAGAATTGGTTTCCAAAAAAAAAAAAAAAAAAAGTCGCTACAGTAGGGTGGAATTTGAATTCTCACCATATATGGTGAGAATTCAAATCCACCAAAACAAGGAAAATTCCAAGTTTCAAGAAATCCAAGAAATGCAATTCCATGGAAAATATAAGGTATCAAACACCAAAAGTTGGAATTTTCAATTCCAATTCCATCTTTTTTTCCATTTCCATGCTATCAAACACTCCCTTAATGTTGATTATGAAGACGCTAAAAATGAGTGACTACTGAAGCCCAGTCTACCAAATTCTATGATAAGAAAGTGTAAGATTTAGTGACAAAGTAGAAGAAATTTTTCTATGATAGTTGCATTAGAACTCTTTCCTTTACCTTGGTCGTCAACCAAATTTTAAGATGCACTCAAAATGAGTAGATGGCATCTTTTTGCATGATATAGTTTCCAATGGCAGATAAATCGTTATAGATTTGGAAGATTAATTACAATCTAAACAGTTTTAGTTAAGTAAAACTAAGGCAGAATGTTAGAATGTCCTTTGAATTACAATAAGAATAAGAATGACATTACCATAAATATAGATAATCATATTTCCTAAAGGGAAAATTGCAACCAAGGTACCAAACGTTCGGATTATTAGCAAACTTTTTTCAAACCTTTCGTTTATTAGCAGACTTTGCTCAAACCTTTCGTTTGTGCCACCATGAGTACCAAACCTTTAAAAAATTTGCAGTTCAAGTCCAAGTTGACAGTTTCCGTTAATTTGACCACAAAAACCTTCAGTTAACCCTAGAAATTAAAAAATTAATAATTTGACCACATAAAACAAGGTAAAATGGTAACTTTACAAATTTAACATAAATTAATTAATTAATTAAAGTTAAAAAAAGGAAGTATCTATTTGTTTCTATCCCCACCTACCCAAAAATGGGGAAAACCAGTCTCGCCATATGCCACCTGCCGCTGGTAGTGCCACCACTGTCAGGCCATACTACCATTCACTTCATCTCCACCTCTCTTAAACTCCCTCCTTCCATGCATCTCCACCGACCTTCTACCCCCTTCAATCAAAAGCAATTATCCCACAACAATTTCTTTTTAGTACCAAATGGGAGCTATTATTGCAAATGGGAGCATACCACAATAGCAATTTCAGAGTCGGGAGCGGATATTTGAATCTCACTGCCACTCAATTTTCTTGAGTGGAGATCGGATTTTGGATCCACACAAGAAAATTGCGTCATTTTTGGAGCCTCCCAAAGTATTGTATTTCTTGTGCTTGTATTATTGTTAATGATGATAATAATGGTTGTTAGGTTGGGAACGGGTTTCACCGCAAAACATGTTGTTGACCACATCTCCGAGCTCATTGGGTGTGGATTGAATTTAGTTAAATGGCGTGGAGGGTTGTTGTTGAGGAAGAAAATGGTAGATTGATTTGGTGGCGTTGGCTGTAGCTGTGGTTATGGGAGGCGATAGTTGGTGGCTGTGGCAAACAATGGTGGGTGGTGCTGTGTTTTGATGGGACTGGGGGATGAGGGTTGGGGTTGATGAAGGAGATGACCAATTTTCATTTTTTATTATTTTATATTAAAATGGTAAAATGGCCATTTTATCTTTGTCTTATGTGGTCAAATTATTAAAATTTTTAATTTTTGGGGTCAATTGACGGATTCTGGGGCCAAATTAACAGAAATTGTCAATTTGGACTTGAGCTACAAATTTTTTAAAAGGTTTGGTACTCACGGTGGCACAAATGAAAGGTTTGGGCAAAGTCTGCTAATAAACGAATCGTTTGGTACCTTGGCTGCAATTTTCCCTTTCCTAAATAGCAATTATTTTATATAATTAATTTTAGTTGAAATGAAGAAGGATACAAGGATTTTAAAGGTTGAAAGACTTCCCCTAGGTTAAAAAGTAAAATTCCATAAAATGAATATTAGACAAATTTATACTTCTATTATGCTAAGAATTGGACCATTAAGCATAAAAAACACATTAAGATGAGCAAAAAAAAGAACAAGAAAAAACCTAAACCCACAAGGATATTGACATGAATACTAGGCCACATTGTAATTTATAAATAGGGAATGATTTATATTAATGGATTATGTATTCCACGAACAAAAAGGTGACCTGAAGTTTTTCCATCAAACCATAGCATGAAAGCATCTGCATAGATTTCAATTAGAGCATGTATTTGCAAAACAAAGATCCCCTTTGATGCTAGCGACAAAACAATTCCCACCCACTTGGCATTCCTAAAATTTCCCTCACTACAATTAAAATCAACACGACTAAGATTGGGATAGATTGTTGGGCTTCTCCATTCCTAGGACAACAAAAATCAAAATACGAACAAAGAAAAGAATGAATGCAAAGCCTAAAGGCTAGTGATTGTGAGGTCTCATTCAAACCTTTATTGGAATAGAAGTTACTACTGTGAATCGATCAAAAGATAAAAACGACTTATAAAAACGACAAACTCCAAGATTACTAAGAATATGCTCAAGTTACAATTGAAGACCATAAAAATAAAATCACACCGACAGAAAAATTAAGAATTTGCTTGCACCATATTTTAATTTCATTATATTTTATGTTAGAATTCAGTTCACTCCTAGATTAGATAACTTTTATTTTCTAATTTATCAACAAAAAGAAGAAAATAGAATAACTTAATTGTTATATCTCCCACGGAAACAAAATCCTAATAGCAACTCCAAGAGACTATTTAACATAAGATGTTCTCTATTTTAAGAAGTCAAACCTTTAAATTCATGCTCCAAGAGACTCTTTAAATTAAAATTTATTTTTAGAGAGTGGGTTTGGCTCTCCAAGCTTACTCTATAATTAAATGCATTCAAAGTGATTCAATTTTCAATCTAGGAAAATAATAAAATAATCTAAAAAAAAGTTAGTTAAAATAAAATATAGAGAAAAATAATAAATATTGTTTTAGAGGAATAAAATTGAGTGTTAAACATAAAGAGTTTGATGAAGCACTTCAAAATTTTAATTCTCAAAATTTATTGATGCTCTCCAAATGATAAAATATGCTATTTACAAATAGAGAATGTGTTGGATATGTTCTAATATACTAAACAATCGTCAAAATAAACTGCCAGACTCTCTTTTTTCCCACCCCCTTCTCATGGACTGAAAAAATCCTCTAAATATACTTTCGTCAACTTTTATTAATGAACTATATATGTCCCTACATTAAAAACTAATACAATGAATAAGCTATAAAACGTAAAACAAGAATGTTACTCTCTGAAAATTTACTTTTAAAACCTTGCAGGATTAGCAGTATCGGCTTTCTTTATCAAAACTAATAAAATTACAATTCCCAACTCAATCCACAAACAAATCAAGTGTAAAAATAAATAAATAAAATAAACCAAAACACAAAACAATTCACAAACCTACTACTTAATTTGGTTTATCTTTGTTCGTGCAAAAAAAACAAAAAAAAAAGGGCTTATTACCTGAACCCATGGGGTCGAGATAAGGGATTTGGATCGAAAGCACAGGAACTCGGGTCGGGTAGCCCCGGATCGGAAGAACCGGTTGGGCGGTCCGTAAGAAATGCTGCTGAAAGATGACCCGAAAGCGGCTGCTGTTTCCATCTACAATCCAATGCAACAATTAAACAAACCAAAACAAAAAAAATAAAAGTATAAAATACCCAGTACAAAAACAATCTCCAAAATGAAAACACTACAAATCTTTAGTACCAGATGAATTACACTCAAATAAAAAGAACAAACCCTACTTTTTAGGAAAATTAAAGTACCTTGAGTCTTGAAATGAAAGTGAATAAAAATGATGCGAAATTAATCGCAAAACTGTGCTTTTTAATTCAAGAAGAATTGTATAATTTATTAATAGAGTTAGGATTCGTTGGCTGGCAATCTATGAACGGCCGTATGTTTTGGTATGAAAGATAGGGAAAATATTTATATTTATTTATAGATACGCCGTGTGACAAATTTCTAGGTTGTTGGACTAAAATGACCCTTACATTATAATTTTATGGAAATGACAATTGATTTTTATTTTATTTTATTTGTTGGACTAAAATGACCCTTAGTTTACGTACCTTATTTTCTTGTTCTTTCGCTTGTGTATGTAAATGCGTGAGCCTTCATGTCAAGAAAAATAATATACTATATATAAATGAAATACGATCATTTTAAACTTTGATTCTACAAATATTAACGATCGTGTCGAGCACCTTTTTGTTTTCCATTTTAATCCCCATTTTAATAAGTTTTTGGACCATTGTTAATGCAATAGCCATCTTTTTTGACTTATTATCTCATAGTTGGGATCATTTTCAAGAAAGCAATGATCATATAATGCATTTTGGGTTGAAAAAATAAAAAACAAAAGAGGGGGGGGGGGGGGGGGGCAAAAAAAAAATGATGCAATGGAAAATTATTTTCTGGCTGTAGGTTGACGCGTCTTGTTTTGAGTGGTCTATTAATTGTGGCCTTGTTCTTAATTAAATTCAAAAGGTTGGTATTTTTCTTGTTTTAATATAAGTGATTCACATGACCTTTGGCAGTTTTTTAATTACTTAATTGGTTCGTGTCAGAAAAATTAGGGTCTATTTGACTGCGAGAATGAAATTTGGTTGAAAATAAAATGAATTGCAAGGAATTGAATTGCCTAAAACTTGGTTTAATGCGAATTGTCAATTAATAATATTTGATTAGTATAATTTTTCAGCTGAAAAATGTTGAAATAAAAGTGTCTTTTGGTATTCGTTTGACTATGCTTTTTATGAAAATTGTCAATTTAAGGGATATCTTTTTTTACAATTATTCCTAGAATTTGTTTCCTTTGTCCCCAAAAAATTATTCAGGACCAGGTTGATGAAATTGATAAAGAAAACCAAAGAGATAGATAGAAGCAAATATAGACAATACTGAATATGAATCGAGTTTAATGAGTAAGCTTTGGATGATATTTCGAGGCTTTCCACTAAAAGATTTGTAAATGTTACCTGAAAATCATATAGAACCACGTTTGTGCTAAAAGAGCTATATAAGTGAAATTCAAAATGGAGTCTTGTTTGAGGATTGTCGGTTTTTAATGCAAAGACTGTGTCTGTGTAACAGTTAATCTACAAATTTCTCGACTTTCTAAACAAATATCAATAAACTCTTTAAAACTTTCTATTGAACAATTAAGCAAAGTATATGAAGTATAATTGTCTAATGGCATAAAATATTAGAACTTAAAAACAATATGTTTATAATGGTCTTAGAGTACATTACCATTCAACAAATTAATTTCTTCAGATTTTTTTTAAAACTCTCTTAGATTTTTTCTAACTCTCTCTTAGATTTTTTCTTGATGTTCTAAGAAAGCTTTAAGACTGTAGCCAAAAAATGATTTTCATCATGTTTAAAAGGTTTGAACCAACTCCCTAAATTTGAGTAAAAAATAGCCAACTTAACTCAAATGATTACTTAATCTTTTTGGTCATGGAATCCTAAATATAGAGACTAAGAGCGTTAGAAATATATTTGAAAAGAAAATAAAATATTGCTTCTGAATAAATTAATTGCTTACTTGGGGTTTCTTCTTTTAGGCCTTACCCAAAAAATAAAGTAAAAGAAATTTTAAAACAAGAGAAAATATTAATAGAACTTACTTTGATTTGAAGTTTTTGAATTTACAATGATTACTAGAGGATTACAAATAATATATAGCGTGCTTGGTGTTTTCTTTCGGTGAGTGTTCTATTGTAAGTGGTGTTGGTATTCATAGACTCTGGTACATGACGTTTATTCTTTTAATACTATACAACTTTATAGGTGAGTGATTTACAATTAAAAAAAAAGTAATCAATATTGTACAACTTAAAAGGATTAAAAGTTATTTAATAGCTGGATAGGATTATTTTGAAAGACTCCATCTATTTTTACTTTTCTTGTTGATAATTGTTGTTTGAGTACTATTCATCTATTTTTCCTTTACGTCTTTTCTTTTTTTCAATTATTGCACTTATTTATCCATCATCTCTATGTAGGCGTTCTCTAGGTCTACATCCATCTCATTGGTTTTGACATCGATATGTATTCTCCTTCCTCTGTATCTGATTGTCTTTCTGATAATTCATCTTTTGTTTCTTGAAAAGCCATTTTTTATAGTTCTTTTTGTTGAATATTTGGTGCTGAATTTTTTTATTTTTTATTTTCGTTTTAACTCTTAATGTTGAGATATTCATGACAGAAAATAACTCCATTGTTCCATAGTGCTATTTTAAGCTTCCATCAATGCCATAGTTTTGGAGATCAGTCTTTTATAATCAATCTATTTAATATTTATTTTAGTATTAGTCATTGAATAAAGTCTGGATGTTTTGACTTCTATGTATATTAAAATATGATGATAAATTGGAATTATTATACCATTATTTACAAGAGGTGGTCTGGAAACTAATTGGATCATTAAAGAGTAATCTTTTAACGGACTCGGAATCTATTTAAGTTTGGATGGAACAAATCTAAAAGATCTATTTAAAACATATATAGTCTCTATCATGCCAAGATATAGGGCTAGAAAAAAAAAAGTCTTCTTCTTCAGAGATAGCATATTCAAAAGAAATTGTAGAATAATTATGTCTAAGAAAAGCTAAATATTTAGCAGATGATTAGCATTTGGGGCCATGTTTAAGGAAATATCGATTTCGTCGTAACAATAGCTTAGAATCTGAAAAAAATAAATAATTTCTTGCTCGATTGACTCCTTTTCGAACAATATTGGCACAATTACCAATTTTCTGTTCTGATTCATATAAAGTCATTTCTTGCCCTGCAGCTGTAGAATCTATTAATTCAATAAACCTTTCTATTTTATCAAAATAATTTTTACTTCAAGATCCAATGTCTTTTCAGATGGGATTTTTGATAGCATTTTTAGAACTTAGACTTTTTAAGCTGTCTTGTAACTGAAAATTTTCATTTTGATATTTACTAATATTCTGTTGAGATGAAAAGACTTTATCTTCAAGGATTTGTACACTTTCTTCTAATGAGTGCTTTTTAAGATTTAAATTCTCTAATAACCTTGGTCATGGTTTCACAACTATCACAAAGTAGTATTAATGAAGGTGAAAATGATGCTTGAGAAGTAGATGTTTGTATAGTCATAATCTGTCTAACATTTTTTAGATATATAAAAGTTAAATCCTATCATTTCTCTACAAAAATTTAAAGTTTCTTCTAACGTGTAAAATCCTTTGAGAATGGAGCATGGAAATCTTTCCACTTGTTGCAATACTTCCACCAATAATTATATATACTAAGCTTTCTGACTGCAAATAAACTAAAATTTCTATTTTCTACTTGATCATGAATCTATCTAAAGGATTAACTAAAGTGTTAATATTGTTTAATTTTTGTTTAAAGTCACGTGTCATCCAGAAATTATTGAGTAAATAACGGTCCCTTTTTGAAAGTCTTTCTAAATTATTTCCTTTAAACCGAAAATTAGATCCTTGTGGGACCACTCGTAGTGTGACATTCTCAAAGTTCATCATCCTCTAATCCATTTGCGCCATGAAGATAGTACGTTAAAAAATTAATAACTTGTCTACTTAAATTATTTGTCAAAATATCATTTTTCACATCTATGTGTTCCATATTGATTTTATAATCATTCAATATTTCATATAATTTTAACCATCTTTTATGCCTTTTGTCAAAACTTGTCTTTTAAGTAAATTTTACTATACCTTCACAACATGTCCTAATTGTAAATTCAGCATTTAAGAATAATTTATAACTTTCTATACTATGTATGATGCCCATTATTTCACAATCTAAAATAGTTAAGTATTTTTCTTTTATTTTATATTTTTCACTAGCATATCTACAAGTTTTTTCTTCTTTTTTTTATCACTATATTTATTTGGTTTGGACTATAAAATTTCTTCCCATCCTAGTTTGCATCCATTTGTTTTTATTATTTTATATTCATTGTCTAGATATAATTCTAATGGTAGTAAATTTCTAACCTTCTCTTTTATCTTTTTAACTAATTCTATATCAGATTGATTAAAGTATTTTTGTCATGTACTAGACAACTTACATACAGTGGTACTATTTTTTCCTAAATCTTTAATAAAATGTCTAGCATAATTCAAAATTCTTAAAACGACTTGTAATTTTTTAGTTTCTTCTATTTTATTTGGAAATTGTATAATTGTCTATACTATATGTGGGCATAGCAGGATTTTTCCTTCTTCTGAAATTATTCCTAAAAATTTAATTTTTTGTTTATTTATTTTCTTTTTCTTTTTACTTATAATTAAACCGTTTTCTATGAATTTATTTAAAACTAATTCTAAATGCTCCATATATTCCTTATGATTTTTACTATGTACCAAAATATTGTCTATATATACACAAATAAATGGAAGGGAATTAAAAAAAAAATACTATCAATCTTCCTTTTAAAAGTAAGAGGTGCATTTTTTTAATTCAAAAGGCATGATTGACCATTCAGAATGCCATAGTGGTATAGTAAAAGCTATCCAAAAAATAGAATTTTTTGCTATTTTTATTTGTTAAAATCCAGATCTATAGTCGAATTTTGAAAGTATTTTACTAATTTGTATTTTATTTATTAACATGTCTTTATTTGATATCTTATATCCATCTTTTATAGTATTATCATTTAGTCTTTTGTAAATTATAATCGTTCTCGCTTTTCCTTTTTAATTTCACTTTGATTTCTTACCATAAAAGCTGTTGATCTGTGTTAACTATTAGATGGTCTTATTACTTTAACAACTCTTTAATCTATATATTATAGTCTTCTATGTCTTGATTTTTATGTTTATTTATCCTTTTCTAATTTTTATATATTCGTTTATGATTTCTAATTTAGTTTCTATTTTATTTTTATCCCAATACTTTATAGGGTCTTC